GAGCAAAGTGTGATAGATATCACATCAAATACGACATATGCCTAGTGTATGTATATTCATTTTCTATATACGAAGAGCTGTAAAAATGCGACTAGTCGTGAAATATAGGCGCGCTTGACGCGAGAAGGAGAATGACAGTAATGGAAGTAGAAATAGAAACGTTACTAGGACGGTATAGAATGCAGAAGGTCTCAGGCGAGTCATAGTGGCAGGAATAGTGGATAGAGATCGGGCAGAGTGGGAGCCAGGCCAGGTAGAAAGAGGAGTGCCTGCTTTTCTTTGAGCAGCGGATGAAGGAAGGAGAGGCTGAAGAGGAGGAGAAAGAGGCATAATGGCCCGAGGCATTTTAGGATGGCCACTACTATTTATTATGGCTCCCGACATATCCGCTCGCCATGTCTTTTCTTTTTGGCTATCGCAACTCTTCTTTTCCTAGCTTTCTCAGAATTCTTCGCGCGGTATCGAGACGGTAGAAGAGTTGCAAGCAAAACCACCGTATACTAATAAATATTCCATTCTGTTAAATATTGATTAAAAATAAAATATTGAAACTTTTTAAAGACGAAAACTCGTCATCGTGCAATAAGATGGTAGTTTAAAAATGAAAAAAATGCATCGCGGGGACAGTAAATTCTTAATCCTATATGAAATGTCGGTTATGAACCTCGCGCGTTCCGCTCGCGACATTTTCCCGATTGATCGGTCATTTAATCGGATCGACGCCGTCGGTCATCGTCGTCCGCCTGCCTCTTCTTGTGACATCTCGTTTCGCTCCGTCGTCCAAAACCGAAACCGTTATCAGCGACATTTCCTCTTAAACGCAGAATCGACAACGAACGGTAGCGCGAGCGACCGACCAACCAATTCCCTTTCCTTCAGTTTTCTCACGGTGGCCCCTCTTCCGCCGACTGTCGTCCTGGAAGTACACACCAGGAAGGCGCGAGCAAGAGGTGGAGATGAAAGGAAGAAAGACGTCGTGCGCCGATACGTTCAATGGAGAAGACTGCCGTTTGTTTTGCAAGGATCATAATAAACGAAAGGGAAAGAGACGATTGAAAAGACGGAAATGTATATCAAATTACGTATATAGAGGCAATGACACAACGGAAAAAATTATGCATCCAATTTTTTTCCGAGTACTTTCAGTAGATAAAGGTGTAGTTGTAGTTGTTAATTTATTATTGTCATATTTGGAAACTCTAATAATTTGTGAACTTTGAATTAATCGAATCGGTTGAAAATAAAATATTCTGATGGAATTTCAACAAAATGTAAAAGAATATTTTTCCATTGTAAATTGATGAATTTCCCCAAAAGAATGGAGAAACTTGATGCGTAACGAATTAAAGCGTAAAATGCAAGGATTATGATGCGACGAATATTCTTGAGAACCGCTTCGTTTTCTCCAACGAAACGACTCTCTCTCGCACCGTCCTCTTCGCTCGCGCGTCGAAAGAATTCCCTGCTTCTCCTTCGGCAAGAAGCGCAGAATGAGATGAAAGAGAAAGGAAAGAGGGAAAGAAAGAGAGACGGCGAGAAGCACGAGGCGGGGGGTACCGGTGCGCCAACTCAATTTCTCCTCTTTTGGTACCCAACTTGAGACTCCGACAGCGCGGTATGGTTGCCCCACCATGTCAGGCCTCGGCGAGCTGGGCCCCACCGACCGTCCCGTACTCAGAAGGGTCCTACGGCCATTGATCCCGACCTTCACGCGCCGAACGAGCGCGATTGCCAACGAAAGCCGAACCCGAACCTGCGGCAACGCGGTTTTGCGCTGCTCCTCCCTCGTTTCCTCCATCCTTCCACGTAGAGAGAGAGATCCACACCGCACCTCTTGCCCTCTTCCTCTTCTTCTTTCTCCTACTCCCCTAACCTTCCCTAACCGCTCAGCTCGAACTCCCTGATTCTCTCTTTTCCCTGCGTCTCCCCTTCCTTCACCCCCTCATCACGTGTCCCTCGATTCACCGAGGGTCCATACGTTGAAGGATGAAGGGCCCGCGGGGCACGTCGGGGGAATAGCGAAACGTTCATGGGTTTAAAATAACCTTCTTAGAAAACGGCCCGAGGAAAAGCATTTCTGCACGACGTTCCCCTTTTTCCGGCTGTTATTTCGTGTCGTCATCGCCATCGTGGGAGAATCGGAGTTTGAGAATGAATGGCGACGATGAGACGAGTTTTGGTTCTCGTTGAACATTTTTCTTATACGATCGCAAAATTCCTATGTTTTAATCCTGGTTCCCCAATAGGTCCTCTTTCGATCGGAGAATTGTATATATAAATTAGTGGATAATTATGTAGATTGATTTGACATTAATATTTGAAAACGAAAACAAACCAGAGTTTTTAGCACGTTGAAGATAAGTGTCTTGCGATAAAGATTCAGCGTCTTACATATAAAGGAAACCTCGAATACCTGCTATATAATATCTCTCTTTCCTTGCACTTTCCACACAAGACTAATTAATCACAAGCAGATTAATCAATTTAGATAACTTAAATGGAATCTTTCTCTCAACGATGAGAGATATGTAACGTAATCAAATAATGACTGTGCGTGATTAAAATTAAAACTTGGAATCGCAATAGTCGAAATTACCCAGATATTCCGCAGCCAAAAATAAAATCTCTCCGTATCGAGAATCTGATTAAGAATAAGAATATCTATCTCTCTCGCATATATATCGTCAGTGTCAACTCGAACGAAAATAATATCCAACAAAATGTTAATTCGCGTATCGGGCACTTACACCTGTCAATTCAAGCGACTGCCGTTTCAATGAAACAGATATCTGGATTATTCGCACACGTGTACGACGCGGCGGAATAACGAATGCGCTTCACCTTGAATTCAGTCATTCCATCCAGCGGCGCGCTTCGACAACGGAGCGAGCCCACAGCGATGTCCCGTCATGCGCGAGGGATTTCGCGTGTGTTTTGGTTGTTACTTCCACTCGGGCTCGTATCCGCGCCTGGGCTGTTATCTGCAGCGCCTTAATAACATTTTGAGCGACGCTGCACGCAGACAACTCTTGACAATAGCCGTAGGCCGTCTTCTCAGAAAACCGACACGTTTATCGCGAATTTCCGTTGTTATGCCTACGCGAAATACGCTGCTCGCCATTACGCGAAATAGTCGAGGCGTGAGTTCGAATTAAGAGCGCCAGCTTGGAACGCGCGGTATTATGTTAAATTAAAACCGATGGATTCGCCGATGGATTGTATGCATGTTGCATCGCATATACGTAACACGTCTGCAGTCATCGCGTCGGTGAATTGGAAAAAGAAAATAAGAGTATTCGTTAACTCTCGCTCGCGATCTCGAAAATGTATCGTTCCCTTCGTTTCATCGCGCAAATGTCTAATTAATGCTGCGAGAGTCTTCGTTATCTTCTTCCATACATACGCGTCTGATATATATATTGCGAGTAAAAGAAAATTACATCTTACGTCTTCCTCTAAAAAATGCGCAAATCCGGGTATATATAATTGATCGACCGCTATTTACTAATGCCCGGGAAGATGATATATCTATGGAATGTTTATAAATCAAATGCAACGTCCGTCATCATGATCGGCAGGACCGCAAAGGATTAAATTGCAACTCGTATCTCGAAACTCAAATTCGGCCAAGCCCGCGTTAATACGGCGCATTATTGCGCGCGCGGTGTACGACCGAACCGATGTGCGTGAATCGCATATGTTGCGCGTTATACAAATCGAGAGGATCGATCGATGCATACGCACTACTCGCGTACAGCCGTCCGTATATGTATATGTATATGTGTGCACACGTGGTAAGTAATCGTTACCGTGGCTACCGGCAAACCGGCGGTGAAATTAACACACACCGGCGGCTTCCACAGCAACTACCACGGATATATTGCGCGCGTCTACGCGTGTAACACGCATACACACGTGGATAACATATATATCGTACATATCGCACATATATTTCGGCGCGTCAACGTCGCGACCGCGGATTTGCGGAGATGGCATTAGTATCGCGTTACGTGAATTCCGTGACGCGAGTATGTATACGGGGTGTCCCGCACTGCCACCACCCCATCCTCCGATGATGATGGATATTCTCGAATGAGAATTGGATCTTTCCTTGACCGAGAATTTACCTATGGAGATACGCGCGACCGTCGCTTCTCCCGTAACATTATTATCAAGTATTTTTTTCGAAAAGAGCTTACGATACATCGTTTACAAAATATATTCCCTGAAGCGTATATAGAATTTAAAAAATATTCTCAAGACCTGATTCTTTCGGAATAACCATCAAGAAATGGATGGACAAATTATTATAATGATATATTTTCCACGTATCATTTTTAGATGGGGGTTCTTTCGTTAAATTCTTCTTCGAGAAAGTTTGATCGCACAGATTGATCGAGGAATGTTATCGGTAACCCATCGTGGCAGGACACCCTTTATATTCCACGTGTATACGTGTGCGTACCGTGTAACGTGTCTATGAAATCTGCGAGCGGTGCACCGCGGGCGTCAGGTCTAAGAAGGAGTGGATATAGTTGGACTTACTATAGCAACGCGAAAGACGTTACGTGAGTAAGATGATTCGAAACAAGGTTATTGGCTCTGCGAGTGCAGCTGCCGCTCGCTGCCTCTACTTGCTGCGGCTATTGAGCGCGGTTTTCTTGTTCTTTTCCCCGATGCTCTCTTGCTTCATCTGCCTTCGCCCATCCTGCCTTCTGACTTCATATCAGCCCCTCTTTTTCTCTCCCTCCCTTTCCAAGTCGTAGAAAATTTTTAAGTACACATACGATGCTTCGTTACTGCTAATATCGATATTTCGACGCTATTGCACAACTTAAATCAATATAAACATTTGAAAGGTATATCTAGGAAATATTCAAAGATTATCTGACAAATTTTAATTTCTTTCTATTAGACGTCTTTCGAGGAAAATTTTCAACAGAGAATCCTATGAATATCCTAATATGTGGTTATATAATAATATAACATTTCTTTGCAAGGATTACGAATGAAAGAGAAATCATGAGCGAATGGAATGAATCAGCAGATGTCACAAGGGACGAAATACCGCCATGAAACTGATGATCGTGCCATGCTGGCAGGGACTGTACCCGAAGTTTGCGGGCCCGCCGAAGTGAGGTGTGTACCTACCTACCTACCTGCCTCTCTTTATCTCTCTCTCTCTTTCTCTCTCATTCTTTCTCCTCTACTAGCTCGTGGTAAGTCACTGTACGCCTGGACTGGACGTCGTCGAACGTTGCTGTTTCGAGAGCAGAAGTATTCGAAGGAGCAACGTCCAACGGCAAGCGGGCAACCAACCGGCCGGCGCGCCAAGGGACAAAGAGCGGCCGCCGGCCCAAAAGAATAAATAAATAAAGTAGAGAAAAAGAGAGGAAGAGAGAGAAAGAAAGAGAGAGAGGGCAGAGCATCAAACGAAGGAGAAGAGAAGGGAACAGGTTGAAAGAAGAAGGAGAATGTGCCGCAATGAAGGCGATGGAGGGAATAAGATGGTACCCGGCCCAAGTGGCCGCCATCAGTGCCAAGGACATCGACCGAAATCCAAGGGTACCGTCAAGGCCAAGGAATGCCCGACCTGCGCCATCGCAAATTCGCTTGCGACTCCGCTCTTTCTCTGTTGCGGTCTTATTCAGGGCGTGAGTAAAATAAAAACTGTCTGTGCGCGTCCAAAAAGTGCCAGCAGCAAACCGACCGAAACTCAAGGGCGTCTGCGAAATTCACTGTGCGTTGGAACATGACTGACGTATCGATACGTATAGCGGAAAATATCGATAACTAGCACAAATTTTAATGAAGAGATATTCAAGTATTTTTTAATTTTTCGAAATTTTTAATTTGAAAACAAGAGTGAGTTTATTTCAAAAATAAATTAGAAATTAATAACTTTGTAAAAACCTTGTAAAAATTAAATAAAAATTAAAAATACATGGATAATAAAAATTATATATAACTGAAATGTATTACTAGCGCAGTTTTATTTTATCGCAGCATGACATGGTGGAATATTTTTTTCCTTAGACTTCTCTCTCTCCAGAGGATACGTTGTAAATAATTTTAATAAACTTCAGCCACATAGAGCATTTAATATAGGCTATTTTTTGTTCGTCACCTTTTTTCTGCATGAAATATATTTAGATAACCTTTTTAAAAGGTTTCTCTAAAGTTTATAAAAATAAAATAAGATTGTTTGTTCGCATTTATTATTATTTTACGTCACAACGCTTTCCATTTTTTTTTTTTTTTTTTTTTTTTTTTAATGACGTTGCTAATAATATTTTTTGCTCAACGCACAGACTAAAATTGAAAATCTAGTCACCATATCGATTGTCATGTTTTCAATAGCAGTCGCATGTTGCCGGCTCCCGATATTAAGGGTCATCAACGCCTAAGGCAACGCCGTCAGGATCATTAAGAGCAAGTGCCGGCGCGTTTCGAGCGTGCGAGCCAGGTGGATGACCGCAGCTCGGCAACGAGGGTTGACGACTCGCGCCGAAGGAAAAATCCGGAAGCCGGGAAGGATGAGAGAGGAGGGTTGATGATGTGTGCGCTAGGGCACCGCAGACTATCGCAAGCGCTAGGCTTACTTCTCTCTGGCCCTCGCAGCCTGACCCTCCCCTGCTCGTCCCGCTGCTCTCCGACGGTCTCCCTCTGTCTCTCTATTTTTTTCATCCCCCCAGAAGGATGAGTCTCCAGCGGGGTGGAGTCACCCACGCCCACGCAGGCCGAGCCGGTAGGCCTACCCCAACGTAACTCGTAGTGCGTATATCTACCCTTTAGGCCGGCAGCCACCCCCGATCCAGGCGACGTGTAGGGGCGTGTACGTGCCCCTGCCTGCCTGCGACGACCAGGTTTGCCAGTCCTGGCAGGTTGCACGTGCACCGTTTTGCATCGAGGGTTAGCGGAGAGGAACGAGGGAGACGCGAAAGGGGTGGCTTTTTCGATACCGAAGACGGAAAGCCGTTGGTGGCAAATAGGAGGCAAGAGGCCCATATATATCGGTAGGAGGAAGAAAATTGACTCCGCTGGACCGCGAATCGGAAAATTCACGTCGTGACGAAGGTGCGTGCGATTTTCGACGTCGCTCCAGGTCACCCGGGAATGCCGAAGGGGTGGCTGACGTGTTCGCTCGAAGTGGTTCCGCCACGTGCCGAGAAATATCGAACGACGGAGAATAAGGTAAATCTTTTCCCAGATATATATATATATATATATCGTAATAGCTCGATGCCGTTGCACATAAAACGAGAGAAGGACGCGCGCGGTTGAAAACATCGATCGGATGAAATATAGCATCTTATGATCGAATCGTCGAAAATGACGGTGAATGATTCATCGCTCGCGATAAAATTACGGGAGGAATATTAATGACCTCGATCTCGCGAACTATCTCTCTAATCAATTTCGTTCGATGAGATTTCGCGATATGTTTTTTGCAAATTTTTCTGCGAACGTAAATTCTCGTACAATTTCTGACGTTTATTGCGGTACAGGTTATTGCAATGGATCAGCAGAGAGATGCTCTTGACTTTTATCTAAATCTTGATTCACTACAGAGTTTTATCAAATACCTACATTTTATATTTCTTATATATACGCAATATATCGAGAGAGAGAGAGAGAGAGAGTTTCGAATGCCGATGTATTCCAGAAACAATTCGTATTTTATTGACTTCCTTTACACGAATGAGGGAAAGAATAGTGTAGATAGTTGCTTTTATTTGTATGTTTTTGCACATTGCAAGACCTTAACATAAAAAACAAACCTTTTCAAAAGAGCTTGTAGTAAAACTTTTTAGAGATGCCGTCAATATGTATATAATCTTGCGTAAAATGTATTACGCATGCACGGCTAAAGACCAGTTTTAAACGCGATTGCACTTTATCGGATAAAGAGAACAAGCAAACCGGTCATCTCGATTTCTCCAAAGATGACAGACTGTCAAGTGAGAAATTACGTTACGCGAGATTGCGCTCAACCAACATTTTTGCGATTTCGCCGAATAAAAATAAAGGAAAAAAAAAAGAAGAAAAAATTCGGGCACGATTCATTTGTTCCAAACAGGTTTATATTCGCGGGAAGAGATGAATCGCTGGCGTCGTCAAACGTTAATCACGACGGGCAACGATATCGGGCGACGTTAATAATTCATCCCCGCCCGTTCTCGGGCCCTTCACCGCGAATGAATTATGCACGTGCTTCTCATAAGCAGCAAACGAGAGTAAACTCCGATTAGTCTTTTGCACCTGATCCCGTTTTATCTCCCGATCGTGGCAACGGCCTCGCTCGAGAGAGCCGCCGCTGGATCGCGATCGTCGATTGCGCGGGATCGCCGCGCACCGTCTGATATCTCAATTCCCGCTCGAGAGAAAGAAGGCGCGTATTCGCGATGTATCTCTCTATTTACATATAAATATTAATAAACGTCCGCGCGCGCGATCGCGCGGCTCCTCCTCTCCACGTCAACGATCGTCCTTTACTTCATGCACGAGGACGCTTAACTCCAGCTTCGAGCTAAGCCGGATATTTTCATCATCGCGTTGCCCATCACGATTTTTCCCTCATCCAGAGAATGTTTCTAATCCGTCATTGAAAGACCAATTCTAAATTAAGATTTCGAAACACTTTCGATGCTCGCTCTTGAGTGAATCTTATGTAACGATTGCATGTGTTTACGCGTAGATTGTTATAGGGTTGATTTAATTATTAATTAATCTAGATGTTAATGAGAGAATTATCTCATATTTGCTTCGTTATCTCAAACTGCGGCTCATAATCGCGAGCGCTCGATAACCTTGTATCCTTTTAACGATATATTTAACGTGGAAATAGAATACGCTGACGGTTACAACTATAATGCTAGAGGGATAAAATTAACACTTCTCTTTAAAATGGCCATTTCCAGCAGCGCACACTCGCTCGTGTTGCGTTGCACGACTCGTCTCGTTCCTCTCCATTATGAACGGAAGGCCGTGGCCGAGTGGATATGCGGTGCGCGCAGAACAGGTGCCAACCGGTTCGAGAAAGCTTCGCCCTGCCAATAAGTGCGCTCACCCTTCTTCTCGCGAGACAGGTGGACCGACCGGTGCATCGTGTCTGTGTGCGCGAGATTCTGTCTCGCGACACAAAGTACAATTTCAGGGAAACGAAAAATAAGTTACGTCGCGTCACTCGATCGGCCGCGCTTTAGATTTGCGCTACCCTGACCTCAATTAACAGACGATACCTCGGGCTAATGTTTCCTTTTAAGAAAATATTCAGGAATTTCTCAGGAATAAAATACGCACGGTTGTAGAATTTAGTTATAAAATGAGAGAAAAGTGTTGCTATTATTTCGCAATTATAGAATGATGAAAAGTATTAAGATATAATTTTTTTTTTTTTTTTTTTCATTATTGCAATAAACGAACTTGTCGCTCATAGTGAGCAGTGACTGAAAACGAACGATGTACTCTTGTTTATGTATTTACGCGCGAGCTATGTAATTAACGTGAAAATGCTTACTTATGCGATAATGTTCGCGAAACGTTTTATCGTCGTCAGTAATGAGCTTCGTTAAGTATTGAGCATATTTGTAAATAACGATCGAATATCAAAACCATATAAGCGGAATTCCCCATAATTCGATTTACATTTGTTATGCGTTCCGTTACGTTTTTCCGCGACATACGTATACATATATGTTATAGACATATATATGCACTCCAATGCACTCGTCGAGCCGACGATGACTCGTATCATCCAAAAATGATTGCCTGTGAAAACTTGGCGCGTCCGGACGAACGAAAATCAAAATTGTGTGTACCAATTGCGCCCGTAATTGAATTAAAAACTAATTACTTGCCAAACGATGCGGCGCGCATTTGTACCTGATACTCTCTCGTCGGGGACCGGCGCGAATATCGATCGTCAGAGAGAATAATTATCCGTCACAATGATATCCGACCAAATCATCGACGAGTACCGAAATCGTGTAATCGTCACGTTAACCATATATTCCACCTTAAACAATTCCGAGCATAATAGGCTCGAAATCAATTGGGTAACGCTAAAAGTTCTAAACAATTATATTGTTGTTATGCGTCAATATAACATGAAATACCATTCGCCAATTAACAAGGATGACGAAATGCAATTTATATTAAATATTACAAGAGCGCTCGCGCATATTAGTTTTAACCATTTCTACACCGAAATAGCTTTTTTCAATTAAATATTGCGATATTATTTGTTTTGCGATACAATATAATGTAAATGTTTAATATGTGTACATTTTAATATATATTTTAATTTATACGCTTATAAGCATGTAATCGTTAATGTAAAAATTATAAAGATACGTGACATTTTCGAATATTTTGGATCCCATCAACGGAATTTAAATGCTTTTAAAATGCATTGTCCTGTGCGCGAAAGAAACTCAGTCACTTGAAAATGGATCCGCAAAAGGGCACATATATAGGGTTATCTTTTTCCCCTATCACGCAGGCGGTCGACGTCGATACGCCTACGTTAAAATATTTATAAGACGCGTCAGATTACACGCTTTCGAAACTGCAGGGACCTCTCGTCTAAAGTGGAAAGAAATAAAAGAGAATCATTTTATGAAAGATGCACCACGCGAATTCAAGTCGCTCTCGAATCATTCAAAATTTCGATGTAATTGTATCTATTATCAGATGTAAAACAATTAGCATATAGTAAACTATTGAATATCGCTAATAGAATGTGTAGCAAATATAATTAAATTAATAATTATTAAATGAATTATAAATTGTGTCAACAAAAATCATCTTTTTACCGCATACAACAATAATTTAACGTACATGATATTTAATACGT